AGCATTGCTTAAAGCGCAACCATCTGGCGACAACCCCTTTTGCCGTTGGGTTTTTCTAGTACAGTGTTACCTGTATGTTATCTGTGTGTAAAACAATTGGCTCCTACTTTAACTTTCTATGCCATTAGATACGCTTCTACATTTTAATTGCTTTATAATTTTATGCCAGCGTTATAATCTACTAAATAATATGTGTACATCTAACACATTTGTGTGCATAATTGAATTGTTTATTGATTTTTGTCCATTCCTTTACCTCTCTGTATATTTTAATGCTACTCCCATGATACTTTAGTCTTTGTAACATTATAATACTTTTTTTTTTGTAGAAACAAGGTCTCATTATGTTGCCTAGGCTGGTCTTTTGGACTCAAGAGATTCTTCCAAAGTGCTGGAATTACAGACATGAGGCACCTTGCCTGGCTAATAGTACTTTTTAATGTTTGGTTGAGCAAATTCCCCCTCATTGCTCATTTTCCAAAAATTTGAACTAAAGAATTGCTGCTATTTAAATGACTAATATTATAAGACAGCTGTAATTTTAAATATTTCTCTCACTCTTTTACACAGATTTCACAAGTGCATGTGTGCGTGCGCGCGCACGCGCGCGCACACACACACACACACACACCTTACAGTAGAGCTATTATAGGAAAATAGTAAAAAGAATTGATTTTTAGCATTCTCACTCTTTTCCTTATATGGTTGGGATATTCCTTATGCTGAAAGTTCCTGGAGATGTCCAATGTTCTTCGTCTCTCTCCCTCCCAATTACCTATCAAATCTTTCTTTCAGTGGTGGTCCAGCTAGAAAGAAAAGCCAATCCTATGTCAGATTTCCCTCTTCTGGATATTTGCATTTTAATATTATTCACTTCTTTATCCCAAATAAATGAATTCTTGATGCTGGAATTTTTGTTTTCTAGACATGAACCACCAAGTGGAAATTTTTCATCCCAGATGAGTAACCATATAATTTACAAACTACGAACCTGGCTCTAATCCTGGAAATCTAGATTCATATATCATGCTATGTACCAGACTTAAGATTTACAATATTCCCCAGCATTGAAATTAATAGTAAACACTAAGTAACATGCACAATGGAGCCTTCCTCATTTATAGAAGTTACTGCTTAAACAGTTGATAATAGCCTAGTAATCGGGAGCAAGAGAAGGAATTAAAACAGGGGAGAGATGCAATAAAACATTGTTCAGGGCTTTAATAGGTCATCAACATGCAGGAAACATGCAAGGGAAAGTAGCTGGCAGAAAAAGAAATCAGATGGGTCAGAGGTTAGAAACCCTGGGGACATCTGAATCATCCACAGAACCTTTAAAGAATGCCTATGTCTTGCAGGCAGGAACACTTAAATCATATCATCCTGAAGTAAAGTTGGGTGTTTATATTTTGTTTGTGCTAATGCCCTCCAGGTGATTTTTAAAAATCATTTATTTATGATTGTGATGAAACATAAAATTTACCATTTTAACCATTTTGTGTACAATTGCCATGATAATTTTTATTATTTATTTGTATTTTATGTTTATTTATTTATTTATTCATTCATTCATTCATTCATTCATTTATTTATTTTTTTGAGTTCGAGTTTCACTCTGCCACCCAGGCTGGAGTGCAGTGGCCGCTCCCAGCCACCGCAGCCTCGACCTGCTGGGCTCCGGCGATCCTTCCGCCTTAGCCTTCCAAGTAGCTGGAACTACAGGCATGCGCCACTACGCCCGGCTCATTTTTGATTTATTGTAGAGATGAGGGCTCGCCAAATTGCCTGGGCGGGTCTCGAACCCGCGAGCTCAGGCAATTCACTCAACTCAGCCTCCCAAAGTGCGGGATTACAGACTGAGCCACCAAGCGTGGCTGTATTTTTATTTTTGAGTTGGAGTCTCACTCTGTTGCTCAGACTAGGATGCAATGGCACGCTAACAGCTACTGCAGCCTACCTTTCTGGGCTTAGACACTCCTTCCACCTCAGCTTTCCAAGTAACTGGAACTACAGGCACGTGCACCACCACACCTGGCTAGTTTTATTTATTTATTTATTTATTTATTGTAGAGATGAGGTCTTGCCAAGTTGCCCAGGCTGGTCTTGAACCACTGGGCTCAGGCAATCCTCTCAACTTGACTCTCAAAGTGCTGTGATTACAGGTGTGAGCCACCACACTCAGTTATCATGAGATTTTAATTTAGGCTATAAATGAGCTCTAGTTAAGGAGTGAGGAAAGGTATATGTATCTAGAAGTTCAAAAGCTTTTGAAACAATGCCGCTTATATTTAAATATAAGTTAATCTATGACTTCTGTGTTTTTGCTAATCACTTAAAAAACTCATGGTGACTCTTAGTACATAATTAAAAAAATTGGGCTATCAGGCCTAAAGAAGTAATGAACTCATGCAAATCACTTATGTAGGCAAAACCAAAATATTTACATAAATTATTTTTCCATTTCAAGGCTTCCTTTGATTCATAAGTTCATGCCAGCTTTAGTAAGCAGAGCTTTTCATGCTGGGTAGCCAATGTTTAAAGCTCACATCATTTTACTGAGTTACAGTCCTGCTTTCTGGCAAATGCTGCATGTTTTAGATCTCACACCGTGTGTGTGTGTGTGTGTGTGTGTGTGTGTGTGTGTGTGTGTGTGTACGCGCATGTGTGTGCGCGCACGCGTGCATGTGTATGTGCAGTTCACTGAATAATTCCTCAGATTATCAGCTCCAAATATAAATCCTCACATAAAACATCACTAAATATTGCTACTATTGTTAGAAGATAGTATGCAGATGCCTTGAAACAAGTCTTCCCTCCATATATGTTAAATTTGCAAATGTAAGAGCTTTGGTTTTCTCTCTTCCCTTCCACTTAGTTCTCCAGCAACAGCAACTATCTTCTCATAAAAACAGCAGCCAGTATTAATCATTATAAATTTTATTCTCAGATCCTTTCAGTAGTCATAAATGTGCAGCATCAGAGTTGTACAACAAAAGCAAACCACTGTGCCCTGTTAAAATCACCATGTCTGAATGTGGTAAGGAATAGTCTATTTTGATTTTCAACTTCTAGGATAAAAATAAAGAAACATTTTCATAAAGCAAGTAGTCAATGGCCCACTAAATCAAGGTAAGAAATAAATTACAGGAAGTGGTTTTTCAAAGTTAGTGTGCAAGACATGTTCTTTAAGATTTGGGAATTCATAATGGCTGAGCCAATTCTATACAAATCAAGGTCAAAAGTCCTGAAACAACTGCCTTCCTTTGAACTCATGAATCATCCTACTAGAAATAGAAAGTTTAAGAAAAAAACGAACTGTCATTTTCCTAAGATAAAGTAAAAAGATTAGAATCTTGATATTGGATGTTCTGTTATTAACTAGACTAATATGATAAAAAAAAATCTCAACATCTTGTCTTGAAGAGCTGTGAACAACTTATCTCAAGCAACTTTGATAGTTGGGCAAATCCAAAACACAACATTAATAATGTGTTCAATTATAGAATCAATATCTCTAATTAACAGCAAAGGAGCAATTATTTACAAGTACTCTCTCTTTTTTTTTTTTTTTTTTTTTAGTTGAAGTCTTACTCCGTCCCTCAGTCTGGAGTGTGGTGGCATGCTCACGGCCACTCCAGCATCCACCTGCTGGGCTCTGGTGATCCTTCCACCTCAGACTTCCAAGTAGCCAGAACTACAGGCATGCACTACCACGCCCAGCTTATTTATTTATTTATTTATTTATTTATTGCAGAGATGAGGTCTCCCCAAGTTGCTCAGGCTGGTCTCGAACCCGCAGCCTCAGACAATCCACTCGCCTCGGCCTCCCAAAGTGCTGGGATTACAAACCGAACCACTGAGCCCAGCTAATCTCCTTTTAAAAAAGATAATTATAAGTGTATGCCCTTTCATGGAAATTAAAATAAACTGCTAATAATGAAATTTCTCAACATTAAAATGTACATGTTATACTTCTCAGTTGCACTGTAATAAGACAAGGTAAAAAGTCTTAGTGTTCTAGGGTATCTTGCAAATGACAAATAAACTAAACAAGGTAGTTCAGTTCCCTAGAAGGCAAGTGTACTTGCCATGTTCTGGTGCTTTTAGAGCCTAATGAGGGAAGTAGGTTAAGAATGGAATCATTCTCAAAGTAAAGAAATCACCTGTCTTGGCTTAGGTTTTCTTCCACTCCAAAAGACACACATTCTGTAACTGTCTAGGGTCCCTGTTGTAGGAACCTGTTAGAGAATTTCAAGTAAGTGAACTGCATCAGCAAAGATGAGTTTTGGCTAGAAAGGCCAATGAAAAGTAAAGTGAAAAATGTAATAGAAAAGTTTTGATTTGGGAGGAAATAATAGGGAACCTGGAATATGGTGTAAAGGAAGGCTGGGCTTATCCAAATGGTAATGGGAGAGTCATAAAGTACTTGAGGCTGGACATGGTGACTTATGTGTAATCCCAGCACTTTGGGAGGCTAAGGTGCGAAGGTTGCTTAAGCCTAGGAGTTCAAGACCAGCCTAGGCAACATAATGAGACCTCGTCTCTACAAAAATAAAAAAAATTAGCCAAACATGGTGACTTGTGCCTGTTGTTCCAGCTACTGGGGAGGCTGAAGCAGAAGAATCTTCTGACCCTAGGAGGTCAAGGCTGCAGTGAGCTGTGACTGTGCCACTGTACTCCTGTCTAGGCAACAGAGTGAGACCCAGGTGTAAAAACAAAACAAAACAAAACAATAAGCAGACAAACAAAACTTGTGATAATGCTGTTTTAAGGATGATAATATGGTGTCATGATAAAGATGGGTTGAAAGGGGAGTTGACTGTCATCTAGTGATCTGTCTGCTCTGAGATATCCTGGAAACGAAATGAATTTTGGTGAGGAGTGAATTGTCGTTACAAACACTCGATGTTAAGGTGGTAGGGTGCAGGTGTTTAGCATACCTTATTCTTTACCTAGAAGAGTTGGATTGAAGATGTTTCTCTAGTACACAGTGATTTCACATTGGAATGTTCAGCAGGTCATTTGGATCCTTAAAAGGATCAAGCATGTACAAAATTGTCTCCTCCCTCCACATGCTGTTGGAGCCTGTGTGGGGAAGAAGACAGACCATTAAGTTCTGTCCTGAACTATTCCATAACTAGACTTCTGAGTACCCATATTCTGACAAGGTGGACTGTGGGGGTATGACTCAGGGCTCTCAACCTCAAGCATACATCTGATTCAGTGAATCAAAGGCTCAGCATTATTATTCATGGGATACAGCAAAGCATCTTCTGCCAATCCTTTCCTGAATAACAATGAGTATTATCAACACTGAAAAAGCAGAGTCATCTTTGCCAATATATGACTTCCGTCACAAGAGACAGTGAACATTGAGAGTTTGTTTTGAAGCAGAGGAATATTGAGAAAAAAAAAAATCAGGAAAGGGATACAAAGTAAACAGATGAACCCAGAAATAATTGTTGTTAGGCAGTCTCTACAGAAAAGAATTCTGTATAGACTATGGAGCAGATTGCAGATGTTTAACATGTCAGTTGTGGACATGACTGGCAAATACGTGCTTCCAGAATGATCGATCACTCTCACACTTACCTCTGGGCTGAGTACACTGCTTAGAGCTGGTTAGCATTCCAGGTCCATGGTAGAGTTCTGGACTTGGAGGGCCTCTAGTGGCTGCCAGCCTCATTAGGAAAAGAAGGAACCACTGCTGTCATCTGAAGGGTTTTGTGTCCAGAATTTTAAAATGTGTCATTTCTAAGGTTGCTTTCTTTTTGTGACAGCAAATTTTGGGGTGATTAAAGGGTGAATGAATTCTGTAATAGAGAAATAGCAACACTGGCACTTCTTGACTTTATTTGTATACGTTAGCACTACAAGAGTTTCTCTGATGAAAATAAGAGATGATCAGGGTACACTATTCCAGAAGATGTAACCCAACTTAGAATTCTGGGTCAGTGTTTAAAAAGTTTTTAAATAGATTTAGTTCAGTTGATTACAAACTCTGCCTACCTGTCATTGGCTGCCAATCCAGAGAGACCCTAAGGATATAGAGGAAAGTAGGTAACATATCCTTTGATGAGAGAAGCAAAATGTACCTAAGCTTTCTCCTGTTTGACTCTTACTGACTCTTTTTTTCCTTTCAGAACAGAAAGTGGGACTGGAAATGCATTCTGTGGAGAGGTGTTCAAGTGAGAAAAGCTGATAAGAACTAACTAGGCCTGGAGTAAAATGAATCCTATAGAATAAAGCTATACAATGAGATGGACTTTTTCTATTCTGTTTTCCACTGTATCGCCTACATCTCATCTCACACACAGAAAATAATTCAAAACATTTTTCCAATATGAGAATGAAAAAGTATTGGGTGAGTTTTTTAGTGCTAGCTCTGATCCAGGCTATAGGGAATGGTGTTTCTAGAAAGTTCTTTGCTATCTAGCTCATATCACCAGAATAAGAGACTAGATAGTGCTTTGGGGAAAGGAAAGGGGAAATGCTAGTTAACAACTGAAACGTGCATATTGCCAAAATCCCTGAAATTATATCTTCTTGGGGACCCTACAGTAATCAAAAGGAGACTGAGCAAAGCTTGAAGTCAACAAGGAAGAGCTTTCTGACAGCTAAGAGGCATGAACTATAAGCTACCAAGAGGCAGAGAAGAGTCACTATAATCCTAGTTTTTACAGACTCAGGACAATTGCCTTTACACTTGCATATTCCTCTTTACATATAATCCTTTATTCCAGGGAATGGTGTGGGACTAACTCATTAAAACCAAAGTATGTCAAAATGAGGCTGAGGTAAACCAAGGGATCTTTTTAAAATATGTCTCCAACAGTGCTCAGAAAAGATGGCAGTCTAGACTTCTGTATTTATCTCAACCCCCTCCCAAGTTCTTACTCAATCAGTAAAATTACCAGTTGAAAAGAGATTCCAATACATTTCTGGAAGACAGAAAGATAAAGCAGATGTTGATTGTGGAGACAGTGGGAAGAAGCTGCAGTCCAGAATTCATGCTGTATATGTTCATGCCACCAAAGAAGCCCAAAATCTGCGCAGAGGAGCACGGCAGGCTTCAGACTCAAGATGCAGTGAAGGGAACAAGAAAAGGGGGAACTGATGGAGGATCTTGAAATAGAATAGCTGACTTCTCCACACCCCCAATCCTGACAGCCAGAAGAAAGGCATTCATCCCAGAGGACAGACATAAGAGCTCATCCTTAAAAAAACTGAACAAAAAACTGTGGAAAAACCATGGCAGCTAGTGTGAATTCCCTGCTTCCTGGAATTTGGGGGTTACCCAACAAAATGACCAACTTCTTGTCCACTCGCCTTAAGCGATAGTGATTAGTAACATACAGCTCTACAGTTCATAGAACCCCAGGTTAGCCTCTATATATGAGCTGGTTCTGAAATGCAAAGTGACTGATTTAAGCTTGCCAGACCTTCTAGGAAAGGCTTCTAAATGAAAGCAAAAGTAGACAATAAATAAAATTTAAGAACCATCCAGAAAGAAATTAAGATTATCCTGTGAATGTCAAATTAGTATCTTCAATGAAATTGGATAAGATATTGTACTATATTCACAAAGTACAAACAGGATGCTATGAAAAAGGAACTATCAGAGAATATTAAAGGGATCTTGGAAATTTAAAATATAATTAAAAAAATATAAAAGTCATCATCAGGTTTAAAGAGAAGGTCAAAGGATGTTTCCAAATAGCTTACATTTTTCAAAATAGCCAGGTACTGTTCTAAGTACTTTATCAACACAGCAAGCCTATCATTCAGATAATAGTATGATGTTCTTCTTCTTCTTCTTTTTTATTTATTTTTTGAGCTGGGGTCTCACTCTGTCACCCAGGCTCAGATAGTACAGCGGCACTATTATGGTTTACCACAGCCTCAACCTTGTGGGCCAAGGTGATCTTCCCATCTCAGCATCCAAAATAGCTGAGACTAAAGGTGCATACCACCATGTCTGGCTAGTTTTAAATTTTTTCTGTACAGACAAGGTCTTGCTATATGGCCCAAGCTGGTCTTAGACCTCTGGGCTCAAACAATCCTCTTACCTCCCAAAGTGCTGGGATTACAGACATGAGCCTCCACGCCCAGCCTTTTTTGTTTTTTTTTTTTTTTTGAGTTGGAGTCTCACTGTGTCACCCAGAGTGGAGTGCAGTGGCCACTCTCAGCCACCACAGCCTCCATCTGCTGGGCTCCAGCGATCCTTCCGCCTCAGCCTTCCAAGTAGCTGGAACTACAGGCGCGCGCTACCACACCCGGCTATTTTTTTGATTTATTGTAGAGATGAGGTCTCGCCAAGTTGCCCAGGCAGGTCTCGAATCTGCAGGCTCAGGCAATCCACTCACCTCAGCCTCCCAAAGTGAGGGATTACAGGCTGAGCCTCCATGCCCAGCCTTGATGTTCTTTTTTATAGCTGAGGTGTAGAGAGGTTAAGCAACTCGCCCAAGATCACTTAGCTTAATAGCCAAGATTAAAAGCCAGTTAGTTTCACTCTAAAGTCCGTTAACTTAGCTGCTATGCAATACTATTTCTAATAATAATAGCAAACATTTATTTAGTGCTTATTCCATAATAGGCATTGTGATAAAGGTAATAACTCCTTTAGTTCTCTGAACAGTCCTGTGAGTAGACATCACTATGAACCCATTCTATAGATGAGGAAATTTAAACAAGAAAGGTCAAGAAACTGTCATGGGTTACACAGATGATAAGTGGGGAGGTGAGATTTGAATTCATGCAGTCTTGTCTTAGAACCTGTTATGCTATCTAAAACACACAGGGGTAAGAATATGAAAAGCAAGACACAATGAGGTTCACAACCAAGCAATTTAATATCTGACTTAAAGTAGTCTCAGAGAGGAAGAGCAGAGGCAATGGAAGTGAAGAAACCATCAAATATGTTATATAAGGGAAGGTCCCAGGCTGAAGGAAGATACAAAATTTCATATTAAAAAGGCTTACTAGAATGCCATGGAATCTGACTTTCAAACAAACAGCACTTAAGCATATAATTTGAAATCTTAGCCTAATTAGAAGAAAGAGAACACACTAAAATTTCTATTGGTGTTAGAGGTATGATGATGGGACAAGGTAGGGGAAAACAGATAAAATGAGATTTGACAGAGAATAGACTTCTTATCTACCGTACTGGATGCTAGAAGTTATGATTTAAGATATTGAGAGGAATGATGTCCATCTAGAATTCTGTCCTCAAACAGTCTGTGGAATTTGAAAGCAAAGAGAAGACAATTTAAATGCATAAGAAATAAGAAATGTTATCTCTTCTCGTAAGTAGTTACTTAAGGCTCTGTTCCAACCTGGCAAAAGTAGACAGTAAATTTAAAAAAAAAAACAAACCAGACATGAGATCCAGAAAATAATGGCTTCAACCTAAGAAACCAATTAGCAAAACCCTCACATGCAGCAAGTGCCAAGATCAATTAATCCAGCTCAAAGCAAGTGCTGGAGGACTCCATTTGGAAAGAAGAAAGGGAAAGAAGGAGAAAATAAAAATAAAAGTCAATTTCAAGAAAACAAAAAATTATATAAAAGACGGGACATATTAGCATAACTTTTTTTACAGTGAATAATATATTGTTTTAGTAATATAAATGCCTTATGTTAATATTCAACCTATATACAACACAAAGAATAGATGATTATGGTTACAAAATAGAAAGTGAAAGTTGAAAAGTAAAGTACATTTGATAACGGGAGATGAAAAGAGAGGAAAGAAGGGGTGATGTCAGGGATCAGTGTATGGTTGTTCAGTTTGTGCACTGCACAAAGGTAGCCAACTTATGGTGCAATGAGGGCTAAAAGTTAACACCTGGGCAAAGGGGCGTGCTTTCTTTGTACAAAGGTGCTATCAGCCATGCTCACATGGGTTGAGTCCACCTGAGAGATCATCTTTTTCTAACTGATAGAAGTATGTACTCATAGGTACCTTAGATGAAAGTAATTGTAGAGGCACTTAACTTAAAAATGTTAAGAGATATTATTTATGCATGACAGAATAAACATGCTATTTAATATTACCATGGTAATTGATATGAAATACACCTATATGTGTAGGAGCTAGAAGAGAGATCATGGATAGTACTCAAAGTGAGATAGCATTTCATTGTTCATATGAAGAGCCAATACATTAACCAAGTTAAAAACTGTTAAAATAGTTGCAAGTAGGGAGGGAAAATAATGTAGGGGCTGGTAATAATGGTGTGGGGCTAATTATTTTTTTTACTATAAGCTCTTCTATACAATTTGAGTTTTTAAAACTACTACTGTGCATGTATTATTTTGATAAAGTTGGTATGTTAAAGATACACAAAAAAGTATCTTAACTCAGTATATTTTCTCTAATTGTTTTTCTTTGTTGCTATATTTTAAGTCTAGAAAACCTAGGGATTAAAAAACATAGACATAGATAGAACATAAAACAGAATCACACACTAGTGAACAAAGACAATGTCAGAAAATATATAAAAACAAAGAAAGTTTGGTGGCAGAGGGATTTATGTAGGAAAGAATAATAGTAAGAGAAAAACACAGCAAACAATCTGGATGAAAAACGCGGGGGATTCCATTTTTTTGCCATGTAATTATTATTCATGCATTCAGAAATCATTTATTGAGTACGTACTTTGCATCAGGCACTGTAATGAT